TAGGAGCAAAGGCCATCGCTATTCGGTTCCTTTTGCTATTCGGTTTGAGGCCTTGCTGGTCAAACATCAGAGCACTTTGGAGTCATCGTGTAGGACTTGAGATCGTCCGTGGCTGTGGGACGCAGTGGGAGGTGGGTGTCCACCTTCCATTTCAGCGTGTTGTTGAAAGACACCAAAATCAGAAGGATCAAACATACATAAATGAAGCGTCCAAAATGGTATCAGATGTATTTTTTGTTGCGTACATCTTGTATCATGTCATCAATTTGAGTGTTATAGTGTTATATTAGTTATATGTATATGTTTCATGTTTGTTGCTTCACTCACCACGATCCCACAAAACGGCTGGCCTCACCCACCTCCCCGGTTGCCCGGAGCTCAGCTCTGGTCTGCTTGAGGCTTTTTTTTCTCCCAATGGAGAAGCCCCGCCTATCCAGTCCATGATCTGGACGCTCCGTGACCGGACGGGTGTTTGTTTTAGGGCGTCCAGAAAAGAACGAAGGCAAAAAAGCCAGGAAGGAAGGAATACAACTTGGCTTTCGCTGCGGTGCTCCCGTGTTTGTGGTATTTCTTTCAGTGGTTTTAGGTGCTCCCGTTTCCATGCTCAACAAAAAACATAAAGCATACTTCGTTATCCTTCTTTAACGCGCTTGTGTTGGTCCTGGACAGATGCTGGCAAGGCTTACAGACTCGGAGTTGTATTGTTTGGGCATTCCAATGTTTCAAAAGTACTCAACAAATAACTTGCTTGGTGAATACTGTATATCAATATTTCAAAAGCGATCGACTGGTAAGTTGCCTTGGTCCCATAGACTAACCAGAGGTGGCTTGCCCCTCATCTAAATAGAGGTGGCTTGCACCTCATTACTTGGCCTTGATTCCCTGTGGTGATTATATCAATGTTTGACAGTGATCGACTGGTAACGTGCCTTGATCTCATAGACTAACCAGAGGTGGCTTGCCCCTCATTCCAACCAGAGGTGGCAGGATCAAAGGTGACAACAGCATTTCAAATGGAGAAGAAACACCAGACTGTACGAAGAAGTTGTCTACCAACACCAAGGACAGCAAGACCTTTCCCGGACATGGGGGAAGGGTTAGCCAACTAAAAAAAAAATATGTCCAGCAAAACATCCGAGTCCGAAGCCACGTGTTTCAGTCATGAGACATCCTGTCTTCTGCCGCTCCTGTTCATTCCATGCCACATCAAGATAATGAAAATGATTTTTTTGCATACCATGGAAGTCCGGGTGCAAGATTCGCTGGGGTGTCACATCTCAGGTGAGCAACAGATGGTTGGTTGGTTGATAGTCACTTGGAACCAACCATCCACACAACTTATTAAATGATATAGAAATAGGTCACGTCACCGTGTCTTTTTTTGGCACAGCAATCATCTCCGCTCCTATGCCATCCGTCCTGCCAATAGCTCTAATGCCTGAAGCGGACTGAGAACTCAGCCATCGTCGTGGCAGGCGGTCCCCTGTGTGGGTTCGCCGCTTTAATGCACAGAGAGGTCGGTTCTTTTTTTTGATTTGTTTTTTCGTGGGTTCGTCCCTTTGCAGATCTAGGCTACGACATGCTACGACTGTCGCTGTCCCTAGTTACTACGACGTGTGGATTCAGAAGTTTCACCGGTGTTAGTGGCGGTTCTCAGCGGCAGGTGTTCGATTTCCATCCCCTCCATGTTTGGCACAACACAAACCCCCAAAGGTGAGCATTAAACATACGACGGGTCGACGGATCTACAGTCCCTTTTTCGGGGTCCAAGTTGGGAGGGCTCCCCATTTGAGCTACACACCCAGCTTGTAAGCCCTGTTGGTGAGCCTTTGCAGCATTTTGCAGCTATCACCCAGTCAGTTGTCTCAACTCAGTTGTGCGAATTGCCCAGAGACAACGCCGATGTTCGGGCTGATTTCTTGCTAACTTGCCCGAAAAGTTTTTGGCCAAATTTGCTAGCTAGCCGTCTCCCTTGATTCATTCCATCCGCCCGAAGAAGCAAGTCATTATTTCCGCACCAGCCGGGAAGCCCGGTGGCCACCTGCTTTCACAGGCCGCCGGCAGCTCTTCGCCATGTGCGAGGGCAACTGCGTGTGGTCTTAGTCCTCATCGGCTCCATCCTGTCGCTCGGCCAGAAACGGTTTTCTCGGCGATTGGAGCTGGATGCCAGGGCTGATGGATGGTGGGCCCATGGTTTGGCTGTTGCTTTTGCGGTGTTTTCTCCTTTCCAACAAAAGCTCCGTGCAATGTGTTTCCGCCCACAGCTCCGTGACACCAATGACACCAGTGATATGACTTCGTTTTTTTTCAGAATGGTCGACCGTTCCGTCACCGTTCCGTCACCGTCCCGTCCCCACGGAGCACGTTGAAGCTCTCCGCCGACGGAGCGCACGGAGGTTCACCGGGTGGTGCGATCCAGGGAGCCACCATGAGCTCTTGGCAGTGATTGGCTTCTTCGTCGTGATGCTTGGGTTTAAGGAAGGGCACAAAGGGAAGGAAGATGGAAAGTTGAAAGAAAAAGTGGCAGCTGCAGATCATTGTTTTGTTCGGTTGATGCTTTTGCCTGTAATGAAGACCACTGTGGAGACCCATTATGCACTACTAATTATGACTATCTATTATCATGTGACCCTCCCAGGAGACCACCACAAAGCTATACTCATACCCAATATCCGTCACAAGCACATAGCACACTCCCTGATTCCCAGTGCGATGTCATGAGGTGTTTGGGGTGACCCGCTTGGCCATTCACCAGACGACCTCAGACGGTCAGCTTCGCCACGTCGCTGGTGCCGTCGTGCTGCAACCCGGAGAGCTTCCCCGGTCGGAGACGAAACGGTCGTGCGGGCGCTGGAATCGAGCGAAACTGCTCGGTGTGGGTGATGACCATGTTGATCAAAATTACCCTCAAAGGCAACTCTGCGAGGGTTTGGGCAGATGCTTTTCCTTACTTGTTGCTGGTGAGAGGCAACATGGGGAAATGATAGATTTAGTGTGGAAATTAATCTATATTTCCCTACAATACAATAGAAGGAGAAGGACATGTTCTTTTGAAATCATCCATTGTGGATGACTAGAAGACATACCACCAGGGGAAGCATTTTGCTCCTTCACTGCTCCTTCACCTTCTATGAACCCAAGAGCTAGTGGTGTTCCTTGGGGTGTGTTTTACTACGTTTCTTCTCATGAGCATCACAGTCTCATTGCGTCTCACCATCTGAAAACCACATCCGACATACCCGTTGGCACCGCTACCAGCCACAGCACTTCAACCCCCCGTACCGGCGCGTCGATTCACAGGAGGCGCGACGACCAGCGGTGGTCACCGATGTGCAACATCAGCAACCGTGTGTCCTTGGGCGCAATCAGACGCTGTGGGAAGAGGAAATTTCTACGACTATAGACAGTATGATCACTGAGCACCAATTTTATACAAGAAGCTATTAGAAACAATAAGCTACTAGGAACAAGTGCATCGCTACTAGTAACAAGTGCCTTACTAGTAGTAACAAGAAGCTATTAGAAACAATAAACAAGTGCCATGGGTACTTTACCCTGAAGCACAATCGGATTTTGCAATTCAATGGTTTCGGGCCTCGTTTGACAGATGCAGCGATGCAGCGCGATAGTGTCTTTTTTGGACCGGTCTGAAAGCAGATCATCTCGCAAAGGGGATTGAAGGACTTTTGAGCTGCCAAAACAGTCCATGATTTTCCAAGATCAAGGAGCCAATGCCTAGGTGTCTTGACCATCTCCCTTTCCACGTCTACTCTCCTTTCGACGTTCGACCGAGTCGGTGCAAGCGCAGCCGGTGATCGTGGGGCAGCCGGTGAGGGCCCAGGTGGTCGGACCCGCGTAGCGGCCGCGTGTCCGCGTGTAGCGGCCGCATGCCGTGTAGCGGTTTGGTTCTTCCGTTCACAAGAGATGCCACGGTGAAACCATCGTGCCTGTGGGACTCAAAGAGGTGGACGTACTCCACTCTAAGCTTTTGGTTTTCCATGGCCCAACGGCAGAAGGAAAAAGACATGCTATGGTTACCGGCCGTTGTTATTATTTTGTGTGTGTTCTTGTTCTTTCAGATTCCCTGTATCGAATTCTATACAGTTTATCAGTTGTTGCTGTGAATCGCCTAGAGGCCCCACCACGGGTTCACCCACCGGACCCACCTATTCGAATCAGATCGAGCCGTCAGCGGAACCGCATTGGGCTTTGGCTCCTAATGGAGAAGCCCTGTCGGTGGAAGTGACGACGGAAGATGCTTTTGAGCACATGGCTGGGCGAAGGGAGGAAGGGATACCTCAAATTGACTGGCTCATGAAGCAAGTCGAACTTCTTTGTTGTTCTACCAATGGAATTGGTTATGAAGAAGTGTTGCTGCCATTTGCAGCTAAGGGATTTGAGATGCTAAGTAGGAGGACATAGTAGGACGTTGATCATGTGTGACTCGACAAATCACGAACCGAGTGAAGGCGAAGCAGAAAAGGAAGAAAGTCTCACATGCAGGCCATCTCTAGTAGGTTGGAGGCCATCGCTCTTCGATTGGAGGCCATTGCTTCTAGGAACAGACACTAAGGCTTTGGACTGCTTTGGGTCCAATACAGACGGACAGAACTGGGTTCCGCTTTCTGTACTCCCGTGTTTGTGTTATTTCTTTGGGTGGTTTTAGGTACTTGACAGATGCCGGGCAAGGTTGATAGACTCGGAGAGCCATGCACCTTCGACATTTGACTGCCAGTTGGATCAATATGATCAACGAAGACCAGCATGGATCAGGAAAGACAAAGTAAATTAGGAGGGGACACCAAGATGAAACAAGGAGCTACTAGTAGTGTTCGGACGCCATGCTCGGTGTTTCGGCCATGGCAAGTAATTAGGTTGGAGGCCATCGCTACGAATGGAACAGGTTGCTGTCCCACATGGCCTTTCAGCTCCCCTCGCCTCACATCGCAGCAGGAACCGACACGGGGAACGATCCGACTCGTTCGGTCAAGCGACAGGGGACAGAAAGTGCCAATCAGACCAGTGATACTTAATTCATTGTACAGACTCTCGCGGCTCCCATGTGGTGGCTGCTCTTGTTACAATTGGCTACAGGCAGGTGGGCCCTGGGCGAGGAACTGGGAGGCCAATGTTCTGGCGAAGACTTGCGAACATGACATCTCATAACAGTCTTTTTTTGCCCGCTCCCCCTCTAATTAGCAATGGCCTCCAACCTAAAAGCTGTTCTCCTAACTGGAGATGCAGAAAGCAAAAAGAAAAGTCAGTGGCCGCTTTGATTGAGGAAGATATCCGACCTTTCCTCTTCCGAACGCTCTAGATCCCTGGGATAACTGACCACATTCTGATACGACTCAACAGCCTCGTGCCGTCAACAGTCTCATGCTCTTGCACCGACCTTGACAGCTTCATCCACCCCTGATGGACTCTAAAGCCAAAGCCGTTTATACCCTAAGCCTATCAAAAAGGAAGCCTATCCAGGTTAGGCTCAGGGTTTTGGGCTATTTGGGCTCGTCCCAATTGTGGTTAGGTTGAGAAACATGGGTTTTAGGATGTTTTAGCAAGGGTTTTAGCCAGGTGAGGCTGATCAAAAGATCTCAACATGTGGATTCCTGGTCCCACATTCCTGGCGGATGTCGGCGGTCCAGGTGCACGAGAAGAGGCTTTGCCGGCCAGGCGTGCCCAATGGAATTCATTCAGACTCCTACTCCTACCTACCTATGTATGGGCCATTATGCTCCTATAGCCTTTTTGTGACCAAGCTCCTTCTGTCCTAATCTTAATAGGAGATGATGTCCGCAGCCGTGCAACAGGCCCCTGTTGGGACCGAAGCCCTTGGTCTTTTGGCACTCGGATGAGTTGCACTTCCAGGTGCGACGCACGAAACGAAAGCAACCGAGACATTCCGAGACTTGAAACGATAGTCTCCAGCATTTACTTTTCTATTGGGGGATACTGTACATAATTCTTCATCACACGCGGCTTAATTGCCTCATCTTTGGGTTTGCACACACAGTAGTGCGTTTGGAGGATATGGAAAGGCTTATGATCAGGCCTTAGGCTTTCATGAAAACCTTCCGTGGCTTCCTGACACTGTTCTTCTTAACACTGTACTATATAGCCTTGGTTCTCTTTATTGCTTCGGAGATCATTTTTCCAGCACTCTTTTCAGTCCGAATGTGGGAATTGCAGAATCAAACCATGAAAACGACTTCCCCCTGCACAGCACTTCCCCCTGCAGCCCCTGCACATGAAACCAATTCCTCCGCTCTTCCACAGGTGCCGCACGACTGGACCCTCCACGGTCCGGTGGGCACGGTCTGCGTGTCGGGCGACGACCGCGCCGGGCACCCAGAGACGGGACCGCTTCGACCGGAAAGCCCCGGAGTCGGTGGGTGGTCCATGACTCCGTAGCGAAGATGGCTCCGTTCGTAGTAAGGTCAGGAGCCCCTAGTAACTTAGTAGCGTCCTTGCTACTAGTAGCTTCTTGTTACGAGTAGCGATGGCCTCCAACCTACTTGCGATGACTTCCGCCGAATAGCGTCCTTGCTACTGTATATCACTGTATAGCAAATGCTGCTAGGTATGAACACATGAACAACAATTAGGATAAGTGAGATAATGACTTATACTCAATGACTCAGCAGCGATAGCATTAAAAGAATTTGTCGGATTCTTCGTTCAGAGAACCGAGAACGGCAGTAGGCTGGCTGTGATGACGCGGGAGGATATCAAAAGCACACATCGGGATGAATGCAAGTCTTGGCCGAATCCTGCCAACACCTGAGGTTGAATATCCTGTTGAAATGTAATGTTTTGGCCCATGCTTCTATTGGTTGGCTTCCATTGTTTCTTGTGGTTTTGGTTGTCACGATATCTACCTCACCACGCTGGAGTGTCTTCAAGGATTGTTCAAGCCAAAGAACCGGCCGGAGTGCAGCAAATGGAATCCGAAGTTTCAACATGTTTTACCGTTTCACCTTCACTCCAACAGCAACGATTAAGAGGATGTCTTTCTGGCAAGCGTCCTGGCACCAACCGTCCGGACGCGGCTTGCTCCCTCCTCCGATGTCGGCCTTTGAGGTGGGGAAGTCCACCCTCCTGAGTCTTTGGATCAAAAACCTCACCCAGAACAAGGCGCCGAGCGTGTACGCATCGTGCGCATCGGGGAGCGACGTGCGTGGATGCCGGGGGTGTTAGTCTTGCGGCGCTATAATTTATAGCGATTTGCAGTCTTGCCGGGGTGTGTTAGGATGAGATGTGAGATGTTATCAAGCACTATAGTTTCACTAGCATCCAGCATGATCAGACTTTACATGACCTTTCGAGTCTTACTCTCAGATGTTCAAGTTACGTTTCTGGAGACGGAAGCACTTCGAACAGAGTGTATTGTAAGGCCAACCTGCCAGTCAACACAACGGCCAGAATCCTTGTTGCCCAGGTATCCTCCACCCGCGTCTTCCCCCCGCAGCACGAGCCGGACTCCACCCGCTCCAAATCACCCCGAGCCATCTGGACAGTCTGGTCCTTCGGGGTCCGCCAACTGGAGATCCGGTCAGATCGCTTCACCTCGGTCCGCCCTCCGTCCGCCCTCCCGTCCATCCGCCAGGCCTTCGAGTTTCCGGCGGGTCACGCCCGCACCTCCTTCACCCAAGGCGGGCGTGGGCTTTGCGAGCGGTGACCAGGTGAGCGGCAGAATGCTCGAAGAAACTGGTGATATCTGGTGATATAATTACTGGTAGTACGGTAGTACTATGTTATATTGTGTTTATCTATTTTACCTATTTTTACATAAATATGCACTCATGATGGAGGCCATTAGGTTGGAGGATGTTGGAGGCCATCGCTAATTGGTTGGAGGCCACTACATAAATTGTACTCATGATGGCCTGGTGTTCATGGTGTTCGTAAGTTCATTGGGCCTTTTTGGCTTGTAAGGATAATCGAAGCAGTTCGTGATGTCGTAATCGACAAGGTGAACCTTACTTGGTGCCAAATGCCAAGGGAAAGCAAGTGACTTAACAAGCAGATTATGCCCAAAAGTCAGGCCTTTATTCCATCCCGACAAATAATTGTCTTCACTGTCCCATGCTTTTTCCTCACAAGAAGAAGCCAGATGCCAGGACCATGGCTGAAACAGGGACACAGCTTGGTCCCCCAATCCCACATGGCTGAAACTGCCGTGCCCGGTGAATGGTCCGTGCTGCGGGGCGAGGTTTGTGGTCTGCCGTGCTTCATTCAGAGGACACCCCCCCGCTGTTCGGGCGTGGTTCGATTGCAAAAAGATCTCCAAGAGTGGGACAGATGCCGGTGACACGCTTCTCCTGCAAAGGCTTTGGGACTTTGGGTATTAATTGTCATGTGAAAGGAATAGATCTCACATTCAACATATTTCAACCAATCTCAGGAGCATTTTCTGCAGGGTGTTACTTCTTGGGCTTGGGTAATTCATTCAGTCCCCAATGATTGAATCTCAAGAAGACCTTTCTTGCAGGAGACTCAGCTGGACTTCCACTTGAACCTTTGTGACTCGCAAGGCTTAAAGCAAGTCCCCGAGCTGCAGCAATGGAGGCGCCAACCGGGTCAACCGGGTGACCCCACGTCGTCCGAGAGGCGAAACCGCCAAGGTATATAGATGGCCATTCAGTCCTTCTTGTTACTAGTAGTAAGGAGCCCCTAGTAGCTTCTTGTTACTAGTTACTAGTAGTAATGGCCTCCAACTTAATAGCGACGACCTCCACCTAGTAGCTTCTATACTACTATTGTAGTAATGTCAGGAGCTCCCTGTAACGTCCTTGCTCCTAGTAGAAATGGCCTTTGTTCCTAGTGCGGCCCAGGACAACGGTGCGTGTTGGGGCAACCGGGCTGGCCGCTGAAATCGATGGAACTCCCATCCAATGATTGATGAGATTACGTGCCTGATCCTGCCGGATTTATGTTTCTGTTGAAAGAGAGATAAACCAAAAAGAACCATAAGGGAGATTTTGATACGTTCTGTTCTAAGATAGGGGAGATTTTGGGATGCGTTGGTCGCTCTGGCCAGGCTCTTTGCCGCCAATGTTTTAGTGCCACAGGCGGGTAGAAGGGAACAGTCACATCAGCCGGGGCGGAACTGAAGGAAGCATTGCGTTTTTGCATTCAAAGATCCTGGATGTCTTTGGTAGATGTTCACACTTAATCATACAACTCAGAGAGACACTAGAGACACACATGCTAGATGATGCTAGAGTAGGCCCCAAGCTCCAGAATCGTACCCTGCAGCTCCAGGTCTTGGTTTACATGTTGATCAACGTGGTCCAAGTGGATCAACTCCGAGATTTGGCTCGTATGGCGCACCAGGTGGGGTGCGGCGTGCGGGGCGGGTTTGGGGGGATCGGATCCGAGGGTGGGGAGGAGGAGTCCGAACGGGGCATGGCCATGGCGACAGTTGGGTGACCACGTCGGCCAACGAGTGGGTTGGTTGACAAGTTGTTGGTGTTTTTTCTGAACAACTCAAAGATGTCAGATCATCTGTTGGAAGTCCTTTTGCATCTTCCCAACCCTTCCGAAACCTGGCTTCGGCGTGCCTTTGAACAGTTAAGACCCGCGTCACCGCCATCGCCTCCGCCGTCGTCACGACGCCTTCACCGCAGTTTCAGAAGCTGGGCAACAACTCTCAGCAGCATCAGCGCTTCGGACGGCTCTCGCCGCACCTCATGGTGCTGGTCGTGGAACCCGGAGTGCTGGGGAGTGTGGAAGAAAAGGAAATGAAAAGGTGTCGCAAGCAAGGTTGCTACAAAAGCATGAGTCCAAATTAAGCAGAGAGTCTAATTGGTTCATTGTGCATTTCCTGCATAAGTGTCAACAACTGCCACCCCGGCACCCTGTCTGTGGGTTTCTTATTTCGGGGATGGAGCTCAGGGGGAGCTGGGGGGTTTAGGAGTTCTGCTTGAAACACGACAGAGGAGCCAGAGGCCATTGCTAGTAGGGTGGAGGCCATCGCTGCTGGTTTTGTTGGAGGTCATTCCACTTAGGTTCCTTTTTTGCAGTAGGGTGCGGGTGCAGCTACTGAAAACCTGCTGTAACACCTCGAACGACTTAGAGGTCGAGACTCAAAACGGCTCCTTCTTGCGAGGTCCGTGAGGAGAGCGACTTAGCCGAACAGGCCGGTGGGAAGAGACCAATCTGGGGAGAAGACAAGATCCTTCCATCTATATAATTGATTCCGGAGCCCCGTTCGTAGCGTCCTTGCTCCGTTCGTAGCGATGCCCTTTGCTCCTAGTAACGAACCTTGCTCCGTTTGTAGCGATGCCAGGAGCCCCTAGTAGCGTCTATATGTCCGGAAAGATCTTTGCAACACATTCAATGTGACATCTAGCTATTAGGAACAAGTGCCACGCTAGTAGTAACAGGTGCCTTACTAGTAGTAACAAAAAGCTATTAGAATTTAATAGTTAAATTCAACGCCCATCATGGGGTGCTCGGAGACCATTTTCCCCACACCGACTCGGGGCTACGAACGGGGCTCCTGGCATCGCTACGAACGGAGCAAGGACGCTACGAACGGGGCTCCTATCCCGTGTCCCAGCTCGCTGGTTTTCCCCATGTTTTTCCTTACGACTCGGTGCTTGAGGATGGCCGGAACCTCACGGATCACCTGGAGCAGGCCCAAGAATTGGCCCAGTTCTGCAAGTTCAGTGTGGACGAGTTTTTGGTGAAACCAAAGGCCTTGCCACGAAAAAAAGTGAGGACGACTCCCAATAAGCGAAGCTATTGACATTCACCTGAGTCCTTGTGAAGCCTACATCCGAACCTTGAAAAGCTCATGACTTTGCAGCGCTTGAAAAACCCATGGTCAGGTGCTGAACAGCCCGGGCTACGAGGAAGACAAAGCCTTGATCCGGCAGGTCTTCCGCACGCGGGAGGCTTCGTCTTCATCGAAAACCCATCGAGGTCGGACCGGTGGTGCCGAACGTCTTCGGCCAGGCTTGGTCACTTGAGGAGTTGCCCAAAGAGGCGCAGAAGGGGCGAGCCGGCGAACCGGTGTGTACTTCGTTGCACGTTCGACTTGGAACTCAACTTTGGAACATGTTCTATTTTTTTAAAGATGTTTCTTTGCATAAAACATGCACTATAGGAAAACTGAAGGGGTTGGTGATGGTGTTGATGATTGAGCGGACGGAACATGAACTGGAGGTGAAAGGTCATGTGCGGCAGATGGGTGGTTGATTTCCACCATTTATGAGCCATTTATGAGCCATGTCCCTCGTTTGCGCACGTTTTTCGGTTAAAGCGTGTTCCTTCGTTTGTGCTGTGCACGGCCAGGCACGCCACGCACTCCGTGAGGCTGGGCGCCCAATGGGCTCGGCCTGTGTGCGGCGATTCCATGGCGTTCAGAAGAACTCCAAATGTGAAAAATCAGATGTGCTCCATGTTTGTGTCATCCGTCTCATCCGGTAGGTCACATGTAGGTTTCTTCCTTCGAGCCGTGTGTTTTTGAGTTCATGCACGGTGCTTTTGAAAAGTATACTGTAATAGTTCATCAATGTTCATCACATCCGGCGCCTTTTGATGCCGTTGGCACCGGACTTGCAACACGGACACGGAGTGAGCAACACACTCCGCTCCGTTCGGGGCGTCTTTCCAGGGCGACTTCACGGCCGAGAGCGCCCGCAGCTGGCGCTGGTCTGGAGAGGTGCGACGAGTCCGGTCGTGGACGGCCGTTGGGACCGGCGTTGCGCGGAGGCTGCCCTGAAGCAAGTGCTCCTGGCCATACAGAGGTGTGGAGGATTCTGGCCGGCGTAATCATGGTAGAACCAAACCTAATACAAATATGTACGAATATAGCTGCATATAGAGATTTGGTGATGCAGGTATTGCCAATCTATGGTTGAAGCACATCTTGAATTATTGTTTCTCTTTGGCGAATGGATGTGCTGTGCGAGGGCTAGCCAAATTGACTTGTGGCTGGATGCAGTGTTGTAAGCACCTATCAAATGCACAAATCCGTCAGTGAAGTTGTTTTTGGGCATGATTTCTTAGCATGAACTCTGGCAATTGAATTAACATCGCCCTTGGGTTGGAGGCCATCGCTACTAGGTTGGAGGCCATCGCTATTAGGTGCCTTTTTAGTGTCCTTTTGCTATTAGGTTGGAGGTTACTTGCCAAGCGAACTGAAGAAATGAATGTTGTTCTCTGAGGAGGACCCTTCTGCTGCCACAGGGCCCGGAGCTTTGGGAATGGTTAGGAAACCCAGCAACCACCACTCTTGGTGCGCTTTGCGGCTTTGCACACCACTCGGATAAGGATATGTACTATGTTCTTGTGGCAAAACTCGTGTTGCAGCTGTTTGGGTTCGCTCGAAGTGTGACATGCACGTGATTCGGCAGCAAGCGGCCTTCGCTGAGGAGCATGGACTGTTCAAGTCTGCGTTTGCTTGGGATGTCTTGCGGAACATCGTCTTGCCGGATTGTTCGAGGGCACAGGAGTGCTACAGATCTTTAGCATGCGTTTCGAGCGTGGACTATTTCATCAGTCATTCCTGGTCGTGTCCCAAGTGGAAGAAAATTCTTGCCATATGCCATCATTTCAATCTAGATTCCGCGATCGTGCTATGCAGTCTGACCTGCATTGTGAATGCTTCAATCCTTCTTCTATTGACAGGAAGCTTCAGTGCAGTAGCGCGTCACTATCAAGATTGGGTCTTTTTCACCTTGTTCCACTTGCCCATGGGTGTGTTTCTTGTGACCTACTGTTTTGGCCACCTGTTCTGGAAGACGACGTTCTGGTTTGATGGCGCTTGCGTGAACCAAGCGGATATGCTGGAGAAAGCAGCGGTTCTCCAGGCGATTCCCGCTTTTGTGGCGAATTCGAGCCAGATGCTGGTCCTGTGGGATGACAAATACTTTGAACGCTTGTGGTGCATCTATGCTGCTGAGCTATTGAATACAGCAGAGCTTTGTGGTGGTGGTGGTGGTCGTTGTTGTCGTTGTTGTCGTTGTTGTTGTCGTTGTCGTTGTCGTTGTCGTTGTTGTCGTCGTTGTCGTCGTTGTGGTTGTGGTTGTGGTTGTGGTTGTGGTTGTGGTTGTGGTTGT